ATTGGCAAAATTGATTTAAAAAAAGAAAGAGGGTGAACAAATTAGATCCACAGATCAAATCAAATCAGATTTTCTTTTGAGTCCCCAATGTGTGTAAGAGGCTGTGGAATATATAGATACTCTACAGGGCTTACTGTCTTGAAATTTGAGTTGTTCCCAGCATTGTGGCATAGTGGGGTAAAAGCTACCACCTGTAATGCCAGGATCCCATATGGACACATCTTTGTGTCCCGGCTGCTCCACTTCCCTCCAGCTCTCTGCTAGGGGCCTGGAAGAAGCAATGGAAGATAGTCCAAGTGTTTGGGGCTCTGCTACCTTTGTGGGAGACGGAGATGAAATTCCTGGCTACTGGCTTCTGTCTGGCTCAGTGCTGCCCCATGTGGCCACCTGGAAAGTGGACCAGCAGGTGGAAGATTCTCTCTCTCTCACTGTAATTCTGACTTTCAAATAAATAAATACATCTTTTTAAAAAAACTAAAAAAAGAAATATAATTTGTTGACAAAATATGTTATGAACATGAAATATATTAAATGATAAGGCAGGATTAAGATAATACTCTGAGGGGGCTAGTGCTATGGCATAGTGGGCTAAACCTCCACCTGCAGTGTCCCATATGGGCACTGGTTCTAGTCCTATATGCTTCTCTTTTGATCCAGCTCTCTTGTATGGCCTGGGAAAGCAGTGGGAGATGGCCCAAGTCTTTGGATCCAGGAAGAAGCTCCTGGCTCCTGGCTTTGGAATCAGCCCAGTTCTGGCTGTTGTGGCCATTTGAGGAGTGAACTAACAGATGGAAGACCTTTCTCCTTGTCTCTCCCTCTCTTTGTCTATAACTCTACCTCCCAAATAAATAAGAAAACGCTAAAAACAAAAAGATAATACTTTGAGTTCTCATGAGGAGGCAATAATTATAGGACCCTTGGAGCTGTAAGAGTTGGTCTGGCCTAATGTCTTCAAAACAGCCAAAGAGAAGAAAGTTAAACAAGGAGGAAACCTACTTGAGGGTTTGTGCACATGGTCATCTGCAGAGCTAGCGGCAGAAGCCAAGGCTCCAGACCCTGCTACATTTTGTATGAAAGTCTTGAGATATCTTCAAATACCTGCCAAGTGGGCCCCACATACAGCTCCTGGTATAGGCATGCAAAACAGAGGGCATTTGCTTCAGGCTGGGGTAGGGAGATGAGGGTAGGATCCAAGGAGAAGGAGCTGCTGTGTCATGGAGGATGGCTTGGGTTTAGATAGATTAGACAGGGACAGGCTTTCCCGAGGGGTGGAATCACATACATAAGGCCAGAAATGGGAAATGAAGAGTGTTATATGTAGGAGCCCTGGCATTATCAGCTCAGAGCCCCTGGGAGCCTCCCTCATGTTCCCTGCCTCCCAGCTGTGGGTTCTGTCCCTGTCTCCCTGGCTTCTCTATTGCTGTGTGAATGATGACTTTTTTTGTAAAATTTTATTTATTTTCATTTTATTTGAAAGGCAGACACACACCCCCCAACACACACACACACAGAAAGAGAGAGAGGGAGAGGGGGAGGAGGAGGGAAGAAAGAGAGAGAGAGGGAGAGGGAGAGGGAGAGGGAGAGGGAGAGAGAGAGAGAGAGAGACTGTTCTTACATTTACTGTTCACTCCCCAAATGGTATGAAAGCCAGTACTAGGTCATATTGAAGGTAGGAGCCTGGAACTCCATCCTGGTCTCCCACATAGATGGCAAAGACCCAAACACTTGGGCCATCATTCCTTGCTGTCTCTCAGGGTACACAGACTCGAACCAGGCACTGCAATATGGGCTGCTGGCATCCCAAGCAAGGAATTCAAGCACCATCTCCAGGAGTGCTGGTTCTAATGGTTTCTCAGCTTCTCTTTCATTTCTCCATCATTTCCATCCCACCTTTCATTCTGCCACGGGTTACTTTCCCAGACCCCCTCTATCACTATCACTCCTCCCAGGCTCCAGTGATCAGTATTCTGTGTTCATGCTGATGTTTCTCTTAGCTTCTACTTATGAGAGAGAACATGTGGTATTTGTCTTTCTGTGTCTGACTTACTTCACTTATCATGATGTCCTCTAGTTCCATCCATTTTGCTGCAAATCATTGCCTTGCAGGATTTCATTTTTAATAGCTGACTAGCATTCCATTGTGTGTGTGTGTGTATGTGTACATGTACACTGCTTTTTAAGTGGCCTGGGAAGGCAGTGGAGGATGGCCCAAGTGCTTGGGCCCTGCACCCGCATGGGAGACCAGGAGGAAGCACCTTGCTCCTGGCTTCGGATTGGCTCAGCGCCGGCCATAGCAGCCATTTGGGGGGTGAACCAACGGAAGGAAGACCTTTCTCTCTGTTTCTCTCTCTCACTGTCTAACTCTGCCTGTCAAAAAAAAAAATCCATTCATATGATGATGGACACCTTGGTTGATCCGTATTTTGGCTATTGGAACAGTGCTGCTATAAACATTCTGGTGCAGGAATCTCTCTGATATAATGAGTTCATATATTTTGGATATATACCCAGTAGTGGGATTGTTGAGTCTAGTGGCAGTTCCATTGTGAGTTTTGAAAGAACTCTCCATATGGTTTTTCATAGTGACTGCACTAATTTACATGCCCATCAACAATGTATTGGGGTTCTTCTTTTTCCACATCCTCTGGTGGCATTCCCTGCTTTCTGCCTCTTTGATAGCAGCCAGTCTGACAGGGATGGGGTGCTACTCACTGTGTTTGGATTTACATTTCCCTGATGTCTTTACATTTCCCTGATGTCTAGTGGTCATGAACATTTTTTCATGCATCTGTTAAACATTTGTATTTCTTCTTTTTAGAACTGTCTATACCGGTCCGTTGTCCATTGCTTAGCTGGATTGGTTGTTTTTTGTTGTTGTTGAGCTTTCTGAGTCCCTTACATAGTCTAGATATTAATCCTTTGTCAGATAAGTAGCTTGCAAATATTTTCTCCCACTCTATTGTATATGTCCCCAGTCTTTTGAAGTTTTCCTTTGCTATATGGAAGTTTCTGAGTTTGATATAATCCTTTTGTCTAGTTTTGCTTTTGTTGAGGTTTGAGGGTCTTATCCAAAAACTCACTGCCTATATCAATGTCTTGAAACATTTACCCTATATTTTCTTCTAGCAATTTCATCGTTTCAGATCTTATATTTAGGTATTTGATGCATCTTGAGTTGATTTTTGTACATGGTAAGAGATAGGGATGTAATTTCATTCCTCTACATATGTATGGACAGCTTTGCCAGTGCCATTTATTGAAAAAACTCCTTTTTCCAATTTATGTTCTTGGCACCTTTGTCAAAAGTCAGTTGGCTGTGTGTGCATGGATTAATTTCTGGGCTCTCTATTCTGTTCCATTGATTTATGTGTCAGTTTTTATGCCAGTACCATGCTGTTTTAATTACTGTAGCTTTGTAGTATGCTTTGAAATCAGGCAATGTTATGACTCCAGCTTGCCTTGTTCCCCCGTGGGATTGCTTTGGCTGTTCTGGGTCTTTTGAGGTTCCATATGAATTTTAGGATTGTTCTTTCTCATTCTCTAAAGAATGTCTTTGGTATTTTGGTAGGCACTGCCATGAATCTGTAGATTGCTTTAAGTAACATGGACATTTAGTTCTTCCAATCCATGAACACAGAGTATCTTTCCATCAACATAATGATGTTATTTCTAAGTATATAAATGTTACATGAAATCTATGTATATGAAAGTTTCTTTTAATTTTACGTTATATTATATGATGTTTATATGGGTGTGTGTGAATTCGCCACCATCAAGATAGAAAGACATTACACTGTGCTATAAACCATATATAAAGATACATAAAATTGTACCAAAGATACATAGGAAAAACAATTATTAATCTCAATATCTTCCATAGTTCCCAAATGTTAAGTTACATTCAGTATTATTCTATGTTATAAGCAAAAGTTGGCCCCCAGCCAACACTGTCCTTAGGCTGTTATTTTTAAAAATTGTTTGCTTAGGTTTTCAATTTATTTTTAAATTTGGGTGAACATAAAGTACCTGTACATCTTATGATGTGCAGTGCAATATTTCAACAGATAGACACAGCATGAACCAATCATAGCAAAAATTAGCGCTTGCATTTATTTTATTGTACACTATGCTGACCCCCACTGGAACCCAGAACCCATCACCTTCTCCCAGCTGCAGTTGGTACCTGTTATCTAATCTCTTCACATCCTCTTACCATTCCCATATTGTGAAAGCTGGAGCTACACATCTGGGGGGATTGTTAAACATGAACATTTGGTGGTCCACCCCTTTGCTTGCTGGTAGGAGGGGCCTGCCTACTTTGGGTACTGTGATTGCTGATTTCACCTGTAAGCTCTCTCAGGGATTCTAGGTACTCTGCCTGGACCAATCTGTAGACCAGCCCTTGGTAGCATTGTCATGGGCCACTGGTCTCAGATGGTTCTTCATGTCCCTCACCCTTCTGCTCTTAAGCCTTTGAGAGAGTGACTCACTTAAATGCTGTAGTCCAACTTCCCCAGGGAATAAATAGCCTAGTTGTAAAATGTGTTCCAGGCCAAGCTTCTTCATGCCTGATAATAAGGTCCTTTTCATTGTTATCTTTATTTCTTTATTTTAATTTTATTTGAAAGGCAGAGAAACAGACAGGAGAGATCTTTCACCTGCTTGTTCACGTCCCAAATGCCAGCACTGCCAGGGCTAGGCCAGGGTGAAACCAGGAGCAAAGAACTCAATCCAGGGCTCCCATGTGGTTGTCAGGGATCTAAGTGCCTGAGCCATCACCTGCTGCCTCCCAGGGTACATGTTATCTGGAAGCTTTGAATTGGAAGGAGAGCCAGGACTCAAACCCAGGCACTCCAATAGAGGATGCAGGCCCCCCAACTGTCCCCCATGCCAAATGCCTGCCCTTTGAAGTTCCTTTTGATTCTGACTTCAGAGGAGACACCAGGCCCAGGCCAGACCTTACTCATGGTGCATGCCCTTCTTTTGTGTCCTCCTACCAGGCTGTTTGCTGTCAAATGCGGGGGCTGCTTTGAGGCCATTGCACCCAACGAGTTTGTTATGCGGGCCCAGAAGAGCGTGTACCACCTGAGCTGCTTCTGCTGCTGTGTCTGTGAGCGACAGCTTCAGAAGGGTGACGAGTTTGTCCTGAAGGAGGGCCAGCTACTCTGCAAAGGGGACTACGAGAAGGAGCGGGAGCTGCTCAGCCTGGTGAGCCCGGCAGCCTCAGACTCAGGTGAGTGCCGCTGCAGTGGCGTGGGGGAAAGCCCAAGGGTCTGGCCTTCTGCCCCCGTATGGCTTCCTTCCCAGAGGGACAGCCACGTGGGCAGCCTTGCTCCAAGGCAAGACAATTCTGGGTATTCCAGCAACTTTCTTTGCGAGCTCTGAATCATTTCTTAGCAGCAGCTGTGTAACAAATCCCCCTCCCCCAATTCTCTGGCATACAACCACAAACACTTACACATTCACAAACCTCTGGGTTAACTGGAGTGACTGCTTCAGGCCAAAGGTGTTCCAGCTAGCTGCTGATCTCGGTTGGGCTTAGCTCTGCACTGCAGGCCACGTTCTGGTCTGCTTTATGTGATTCATTTAGGTTTGTGGAGCAGCAGCTGCTGGTGTGATTTCCTGTTGTGATGTAAGTGCAAGAACACATACCCAAACACACAGGCGTTTATCTTGTCTCCTAATATCCTATTGACCAGAGCAAAGTACAGGATCCCACCCAAGGTCACAGGGAGGAGACACACAGTGTAGCACAGAGCCTTGCTAGGCTTCCATGCCTTGTTTTCACACACTGTGTACACCCACACAACACTGTTGCAGGCAGGGATGAACTGGAGCCGGCATTTCAGTCTACCATAGTCACTGAGCTGCTCTAAGACTTTGCCTCCTCATCTGTGACGTGGGAAAGACCGACTCCATCTCAGGCTTGGTGGGTCACATAAAGGAAGGAACCAGAATGTAAGAGGGGACTTCAAGAAGCTCTTGGGGAATCCACATTAGCTTTTAACTCCATCTTTCCATGAACTGCTAGAATCCTTGCAGATGGTTTTCAGGCTCATCACCCACCCAGCTCTCACCTCTGACTGCTGTAGGGGAAGGAGAAATGGAGGAGAGTGGAGGGGTTCAGAGATCTTAGAGAGAGTACTTTCACAAGACCAGAGAACTCAGGTGACATGCAGCTGTGTAAATGGGACACGGGCTGCCTTTCCAGGGTGTTGTTCCCACAGCGCAGGGTTTATCTTCCCCCTGAAAATCAGACCTAATGAGGTGATACCTGCAAGAGAGGTGACCTCCCTAGCTCTTGCCATTGCCAGCTCCAGTTCACTCCCAAACCCCTTGACTGGCATCCAGGCCCTCTCTGAGGCCTCACTCTGGCTACCTCCTCAGCCTCTGGAGAGCCTGTGGTCCCTCCCACTGTCTTCCAGCCTTGCTGGTCTCCAGCACCTGGTATTGTCACTCACTCACTGCCTGGTCTTAAAAAAAGGTCTGTGCCTTCCCTGTCTTTCTTAGTTACTCTTGTCTTGCTAGCACATCCTCTGAGCTTTCCTCTACAGGATACTTCATCAGGCACCCCACCCCACTCCTGAAGCTGGGTGAGCCCACCCTTACCTTCTCCAACTGTGACATTATCCCCACTCTATTGTGCCTGCATGCTTGGTTGCTTGTCATTCCTGCCAGAATACTAAGCTCCATGAGAGACAGTGTGTGTCCCCAGGGCTTAGCACAGGCCTGGAACACTGGAGGCACCAGATAAACTGTTAAAGAATAAATAAACACCTGAAACAAAAGCATCCTGGCATGATGCTTAAGTGAAAGAACCTTGGAGACAGGCAAGTGGGTGTCTTTCCCTGGCCATACCGTTTATAGCTATGTGACTTCGGGAAAATTTCTGAAACTCTGTGAGCCTCAGTTTCCACAACTGTAAGCTGATGATAATCAAGCTGACCAAGTAGGTTTACATAGGGGAATAAAAGAGAGAATGCATACCAAAAAAACCGGTGTTCATTCACTACTAGTGCTTCCCATCTGCTGGCCTGGGGTCAGTGACTTCATAGCAGTTGTTTTTGCTTTACCTCCCGGTTGGCTCTTCTCCCCTGACCCTGCTTGTAAGCCCCAAGTAAGCTGACACCAGGACAATCCTGATTCCTACTGGGCTCCGTGGTTGTAACATTTTCCTGGATTTGTTTTAAGCCGGGGGAAATTTCTCTTGGTCGGAACACTGGCACTAGCATATCGAGTGTCTCCTTCTGAGGGAATTAGGCTCATTCTGCACTGGGCTTCCTGGTCCCTGCTTGGCATAAGGTCAGCTCACCCTGTCATTTCCCTTCAGATGTCTTTCTGAGTCCTCCCACATAGGCCTCCCTCCCAGAATATTGCAAAATCTTTAAATTCCCAAAGGGGCTTAGGTGTGCTATGGTGGTCAGAATGCCAGCATGACCTTAGCAAGATGTGCACACCCAGAGGGACATACTGTTCCTTCTTACAAGGAAATAAATGCCAGGGTCTACTCTTCCTCCGAATACTGTTGTGTAGGATTTGAGTACTAGGTTATCCATTTGGCCCCACGTTAAATATTTACAGATTTTAACTGACCACAATTTTTTTTTGTAAGGAAAAGGGTTTATTGGAGGAAACTCGACAGACTGGAGGGAAGGGGTGAAGAAGGAAAACAGGGAGAAGGAGAGCGTAAGAGAGAGAGAGAGACAGAGAGAGGACTGACCACAAATTTGATATGAGGCATTATATTGTCCCCATCATTTGTCAAAAAAAAATAAAAAATAAAAAGCTAGATTCTAGCAACACTGATAAAATTCTAATATTCAGATCAAGGGAACTGGAAGGGGTCTTTTGGGTACTTTTTAGCAATATATTCAGTTCTGAGTATTTCCTCTTTGAGGTTGATATTGGAAAACTGGAGCTCTCCATTCATTCACCCTTGCATTCATTCAGTAGATGTATCAGGAATGCTTATGAATGAAAGAATGGCGCATGAATGGGGAGTTCTTACAGCCATAGCAATGAAGGCATGTAGACGTTTAGGCTACAAAGATAAAGAGTAAATGAGGACACAGTTGTTGTGTTCACGTAGTCAGCTTACACCTATGATTGTGTCACTCCAGAGAGCAGGATTAGAATTCATTCACCCAATTATTTAACAAAATCATTGAGTACTTACACTTTATATAGAAAGGTACAGGAAGCAGTTCTGACTGAAGACAGAGAATGCCGGAATGTTATTCTAGTTGTTAGGTCTAACAAAGAGTTAAGCTACTTTAAAAATCAACCTTGCAGGTTTCAAAACTAACATTGTTGGAATGGGAGGTGAGATCCAGAGGACCTCTGTCCTCCCACTCATCTCTAAAGATCTCTGATTGCTTTTGTAGCCTTAGATGAAGTGACAATAAAGTCTCAACTAGAGTCAAGTTAAATTGTTTCTGTCAGTTCTAGAAAGGTTGTTTAACTTACATCATTAAGTGTTTTGTGTGCCAAAACTTGCTTCACCAGTGAGAGGCCAAACTTCTAGAGAACAGGGCCGTAGTTTTAATTCCTTTGTTCCTTTAAAGCTTAGCATGATGCCAAGAGAAGGTTAAAATGAGTGATAGGTACCTAATGAGTTAACTCTTTAAGGAAGGAAGCCCTGATCATATTACAAAAAACAGAAAAAGTTATGATCAGTCTCAACCATAGACACACATTTGCAAACCTCTGGGTCAACTGGAGTGACTGCTTCAGGCTGAAGGTGTTCCAGTCTCAATACAAGTACAGTTTCTCCTGTGATTTCTGTGTTGAGTGCTTTACAATATTGTTGGTGCTTGATAAATATTTGTTGAGTGAATGAATGACTAACCTGTCCTTGTTAACTTCTTATCAATGACTTGGATGAAGACACAGAAGGCAGGTTTGTTCGATTGGAGATGACACAAACCTGGCAGGGAATGCTGGTGTGGCAGCTGATACTCTTAGTATTCAAAAAGATTTTGACAAGCTAACAGAAGCAGAGCATCAGCAAGATGAAATTTAACTACTGGGTTCCAAAATTCAATTGTAATTGTATGAAATGGAGCCTGTTTTTATGGAATTCCACGTGGGGTTATAGTTGATAAAATCAACAAGATTCTAAAAGACATATGCTTCATTGACAGAACTATAGTGTTTCCAACATGTAATTATAATTCCATTATAATTTTTGCTGACATTGGTCAGAGCACATTTTGAATATTTGGGCTAATTTTAAATGATACATTTCAGGAAATGGCTAACTAGAGAGAGCCTTGATGAGAGTAATTAGTTTGTTAAGTGATAAATAATTAAAGAAGCAGTATATTAGCTTTGTAAAAATAAGGTTGGGGGGCAGGCATTGTGTCCCAGCATGCCTCTTGGGACACACATATTCCCTATCAGAGTGCCAGTTCAAGTTCTAGCTACCCTGCTTCCAATCCAGATTCCTGCTATAGAACCTGGAAAGGTAACTGATGATGGCCCAAGTGTTTGGATCCTTGCTGTCCACATGGGAGACCTGGGTAGAGTTCCATGCTCTTGATAACAGCCTACCCCAGTCCTAGCTGTTATGGGTATTTGAGGAGTGAGCTAGTATTTGGAAGATGTCCAGCTCTCTGATTCTGCCTTTCAAATACTTACATAATATCAATCTTTTAAAAAAAACAATGCTAAGGGATAAATGAGAGTCACATTCAAGGTTACAGATCCATATTCTGGGTGTGAAATGATTTGGGCTCTGAGTAGAACTGCATCCATTAAGGATGCAGACTGGACTGCCTGTATTAGCCTACTTTTTGTTACTTCAAGGAAAATTCTCAAGAGACGCTTCTTGGGGAAACTTGCAGTTTGGAGGTTACAATTCAGGATCAGGCGGCCCCTTAATCTGGTGTCTGGTGGAGGCTGGTCATCTTGGGTACAGAGGAATGATACCATGGTGAGCCAGGAAACAGAGAGGGAGGAGGGAGAAAGGGAGAACCAGGCCAGAACCTGAACTCCAAAGAACCTACTCAAGAGAACCAGCTTCTGAGGGCACATCCCTAGTGACCTAAAGACCTCCCATCAGATACCATAATTAGATCATGTCAGTCCAGCAACTATTAAGACATCAGAGTTTAAACATCTGCATGAGTTTTGGGGAGACAAGTCCTAGTCAATCCATAGCACTGCTTTTGTGTCAATGAACGGACTTTCCATTTTAATTACAGCTGGTAGAGGACCTTGTTAAGGACCTCT